CATATTGGTTATTTTTGATGATTTATTTTCAGGAAGAATACTGTTGGTCAGTATGAAAGTCATACAGCTTTCACTCTGCCAAGCCTATACCGCGTTGTTCATGGCATCGATGTGTTTGATCCCAAGTTTAATATAGTTTCTCCAGGAGCAGATGACTGCATTTATTTTCCATACACTGACAAGGAAAAAAGACTGACTTCTCTTCATGGTTCAATTGAAAAGATGCTATTTGGTCCCGAACAGAATGATGAGCACATGTAAGTGACCGGTTGATTACTTGATTAGGTATTTTCTTCAAATTATAATAATGCACTGGAAGAATGCAAGCTACATATAAACTATCGAGAATATTCCTGTTATTGTCATCCTTGCTGCGTTGGTGATGAGCATGGTTTTTCCATGCAGTAAAAAGTTTGAAATAAGGAACAAACTCATAACCGTTTTGGGAAGAAAAGGATAAAATATTTTTTATTTTCCATGCAGTCAAAGTTTGAAATAATTAGTACTGTCAAAATAAGTATCACATTTAAACCATTATGGAGAAAAGTTACGATTTTTTTTCTTATAAAAAATCTTTTTTTCTGTATATGAAGTTTGAGGTTTAAAAGGATGTTCCTTGTAGGATGAAAAACGAAAGGAATGAAAAGGAATAAACATGTTTCGTTGGGTTTTCGTATTGTTTTTCATTGATATTTTTGTTATAATTTTCAGTTACCCAACTTGCCTAATTGTACCACACACCGTGGAATTTGATTTTTCATGTGCTACAACAGATTTCATAATGCTTAATGTGAAATAGTCTGAATTTAGAATCTCGACATTGTTACTCGTATTGGCCCTATATATAAACATACGGTGGTTGTATTAAGAACTGATTTCGAAAATCTGCGCTCTCACCTTGAAAACACTATTTCTAATTACTAAATAGTTTAAATATTTTATTATTATCTGATATACATTTCCTTTGTGAAAGCAACATAATGGAGGATGTTATTTGCTGATAGCCTGTTTTACCTTACCTTCAACTGTACTCTACTTGATGCAGTGGTATATTGAAAGATCAATCGAAACCCATTATCTTCTCCATGGCAAGGCTTGACCGGGTTAAAAACATCACGGGATTGGTGGAATCTTATGCTAAAAATCCCAAGCTCAGAGAATTAGCGAACTTGGTTTTGGTAGCAGGTTCCATTGATGTAAAAAAATCAAATGATAGAGAAGAAATTGTGGAAATTGAGAAGATGCATTCTCTAATTAAGCAATACAATCTAGATGGCCAGATAATATGGATAACAGCCCAAACAAATCGAGCGCGTAATGGTGAACTTTATCGCTACATAGCAGACAAGAGGGGGATTTTTGTTCAGGTTTGATGTTCGTGTTCATTTCTTTATTTGTCAGACAATTGCATCTAAATTCCCATATTCTCATCTAAAAATATAGTTGTTAAGAGAAGATACACATTTATTTACTTAAAAGTCAGTATTCAACATTCAAAACTCTTTACCTCATTGTGTAGGCTGGATTTACTTTCTTCGCAAGGCCTGACACACACACAGTTTTTCTACATGGGGCCGACATGAATTGAAAACAAGAACTATGCCTTCTATTAAACCACCCCATCTAAAAGTTTTAAGCAATTATGTTGGGGTGGACACGTTTATTTATTTAATTAGGCATGAAATCTATGTTGATTTCTTTATTTCAGTGACAATTGCATCCAAATTTGTGTCCAATAAATGAATTTTTTGACCAAACCTCAATTATTTCTTCTCCATTCAGCCTGCCTTTTATGAAGCTTTTGGACTTACGGTGGTCGAGGCCATGGCCACAGGCCTTCCAACATTTGCAACTTGCCATGGTGGTCCTTTGGAAATTATTGAAGATGGCATTTCCGGGTTTCACATTGACCCATATCATCCCGATAAGGCTGCTGAACTCATGGTGGATTTCTTTCAAAAATGCAATGAAGATCCAAGCTATTGGATTACAATATCAGAAGGATCTCTTCAAAGAATTCAGACAAGGTATGTACTTCGAGGACACAGACCATCTCTTGTGTTCGTTTATTACTGGATTTCTGCAGCGGGATGATTAAGAGCATGTTTAGAAAATTAAGCTTAAAAATTTATTTATTAAGTGAATAAGATTTTATTTTATTGGTCAAAGTTGAAATTAAGCCATTACCTGTGTTGACGTTAAAGTAAGATATACTTTCAAAATAATTAATTATTCTTAAGATCAAAGAAAGAGGAACATATCCAAATATTTTGGAAACAGGGAGATGCTCGGCGAAGCTTAAAACCCCCTTAAAAGGGGCTTTTTTGACAGTATGAAGTATGAACTATAAAGGATCATATTGTTAAAGAAAAACACGTTAAGGAGGCTTTTAAGCCTCGCCAAGCATGTACTTGAAGTAACTTTGTACTTCTCCTAAAGCTCAGTCAAAACTTTTTTTTTATTTGAATTACAAAGATTGAATATATGCCAATAAATCCAAGCTTGAAATCTGAATATCATGACAGATGAGCTCATTTGAAATATATACAGGGCATCATTCAGAAACACATATTACTGTTTATTTTAACCTCTTTAATATGTGGTTGAAGCTTAGCCAAACATGTGATCAGTAGGTTGCAGTTTGCAAAGTTGGTGCATTCTTATTACTATTACAATTTTTTTTGCATTCTTGAGCTTTACTAGTGCACGGGTGTCATTAATCCTTTTCAATGAAGGTATACGTGGAAAATTTACTCGGAGAGGCTGATGACATTGGCGGGAGTATATGGCTTCTGGAAATATGTATCAAAACTCGAGCGTCGTGAAACTCGACGATATCTTGAGATGTTCTACATTCTCAAGTTTCGTGACTTGGTGAGATAACTCTACTTGCGGGAGTAGTTTTAGCCTATCAATATTGAAAAAGCATAATAAGTTTGTAACAGATTGCATGAATAATGTACACAGAATTTCTATAATGCGTTGGCCGTTGTCTGTTTCAGGTAAAATCTGTTCCTTGGGCAGTTGATGATCCACAGTAAAAAGCAGAGAGGAAGCATCTCAATCTTCTAATCCCAACGAGATGCCCAAATTTATATGTATGTGTGAAAGAGTAATGTTTCTGTTGTATGGACATGAGGAAAACTTGATATTGGACATAAATAAATATTCAAGTTTCTAAAGAGAGTTGGTTGAATGGTTTCTGGTGTATAGATCGATAAATGGGTAATTAATGCATCAAATTGGTAGTCCCGGTTAGCTGAAACATGCAATCAGCGTCCCTTTCCCCTCGATCGACTCATCGTGGCCAGTGTAACTTCTCCGCTGCCCACGAGGCTGAGTCATAGTAAACCGTCACTTTGCTCAACTGTCCAGGCCATTGCCTTTCCCAAGTTCAGTTCTTTATAAATATGGGTAGTTCTTCTAGGGGTACACAATGGTGTACACAATTTTTTACACTTCTTTCACATGGCGGGGGGTCCAAACACAATAAAATATTTGAGAGCCCCCTTCCATGTAAGAGGAATGTAAAAGATTGTATACACCACAAGGTGTATACATAGAATAATCCTTAGGTGTGACAATTTCTCTGTTTTCCAGTAAGTGGATAGAATTGATGAAGTATCATGCGACTTTATTCTTATTTTTCACATGGTACCAGAGTAGTTTTATGGATTCGTGGATTCGAGGAATGTGTGATTAAAATTAATTATTATTTTAATTTTAATTTTTTTAAGAACTTTTAATTTACGCTAAACATGAACTTAGATGCAGCTGGATCCAAGATATATAAAACTAAATACTAGTAGTATTGAGGTTGGAAATTCTCGATTTACAGAGCAAGTAAAGCGGAGAGAATTGGCATGTGACACGTGTAAGAATAACACTTCTTTCCAGTCAACATTTTCAGACTCTGACACTACAGTGTATGCAGCCTTTAGACCACGTGATTCACAGTTCCCCACATCACATGCTGTATTCTATTTCCATTTTCATCACACATATCCAACGGTCAATATTGGGCCCCAAAAAACAACGGTAAAATATTCAATCCCTCCAAACTGTGCTCCACTAAATTATTTGTTCTCATTGGTACAAAATAAAGAGTAACGTTATTTAACATCGCTAATTTTCAACATCAATTTAGGTATCGACATTTGTATCATTAAATTATAAATTTAATTAAACATATATGATTTTTTTAATCGAACCCATAATATACTATCATCTAGATTGCTTTTGAACTTCACTAATGTTAGATAATATTATTTAAAAATAAATTGTTTGTTTTTTTGAAACATTTTAATATCAAAATTAAGGGTTGTTTCATAGCTTGATTAGTTTATTCTCCTAATCAGACAAACAACTTTCGGGAAAATTATAAAAAAATATATTAAAAAAAAACTCATTTATTTGAAATTATAAAAATTTTATTGTCAAAAAAAAAAAAAGTTTAGGCATCTCACTGCATTCTTGATTCTTATGATTTAAGTAGATTTGAATGAGATCTAATGTAGATTTAATTTTTTAAGTCCCTTGTATTTGACATTGAGGATTAGATGTAATTTTCGATTCACTCGAGTAATCTAGCGAGACCGCTACAGCACTCCGTTAAGAGAATCTATAAATTCCTAGGCATGTGTGATTGTATTATTCAATACCAACATACTCAAAAGCAACTCAATGCCACCCATTAATATATAAAGTCACAATCATCATTACAATATTAAATATAAGACAATACTTAAATAATGAGGTATACATCATAGACTGTGCAACCTTAACAACCGTGCACATATTTGTATGGCTCGAAAACTCTTTAGTCTCGGCCACCCGACCCGACTCCAACAATGTTCTATCCCATTTCAAGTACACTTCGACTACTACAACACAGGAACTCGAGAATCACAATTAGTACTTACTAATCAACCATAAACAGAGAAATAAAAGTAAACTGAAAATGGAAATCTGAAAGAAAAGGGCTGTAATTTGATAATTTCTTAGAGTTGGCCAAACGAGTGAGCAAGATATGCCAAGGATCCAACAAGTGGTGCATTAATGTAAGTGGCTGGTTCCGATTGCTCGTAATCAGATCGTTGATCTGGGAAGCGATCGTGCTGATCGGGCCCACCGACTATGGCCCCCATCAGGATGTTGGGATTGGGAGACTGGGAACTCGTTAAACTGAACCCTGCGGAGCACTGGATTTTTGCTGGATGTGTAGCTATGGAAGGGAGAGATGATCCCCTGTGGTGGATCCTCAGTGGATACCTTGCACCATAGCCCACCATGAACGACATTTTAATGGGATTATCTCCAAGCAAATAGTCCACCTATATGTTCGATATTTCCAGATTATCAGAAAATTAAGTTGACGAACTATTCACTTAAAAAGTACCACAGCAGCTACTGTGGAGTTGGAAATTCCCTCGCCCACTTTTCACAAGGCCCAGGATCCCGGTGCAAGCACGTCGCGCCCAGGATCCCGGCCTAGCGCATCGATAGGAGTGTGTAATATTTTATATTAGTGACAAAAGAGAAAGGATTGTACCTGTCTTTTGGCAAGTGTTCTAAGCTTCTTTGGCGTGACAGTGGCTCCACCACAATTAACCACCATGTGTGAAGAGGTCAAGTACTTGGCATAAGTGACCAGCAGGAAAGATGTGGATGTTACATACTGCATATTACTGTCATTCATCTTAAACAAAAGCCCACCTGATAACATTTCTCCCCATTAGTTTAAAAAATCCACTTGATTAAAGTCGTCTAAACTCATAAGTAAGGGCATGTTTGGCGCACATTACTAAATGCAATCGGACAGTAGATTAGCAAAGGCTCTAACTTTGTTTTCTTTCCTAATACAGTCACGTATGGCTCAATCGATCTTGCCAAACATGCCATAAAGGGGGACGAACCTGGGGTGTACTGTGCTGAAGAGTAAGGGGTCCCTGGGATTAGAGAACAAATGTAATTATCTGCGTGACTTTTGTAATCATGGAGGGATTGAACCTTTTGGACAAGAAATGCCTGAAAAAATGTAACTTGAATGATCATTCAAAAAGACTAGAAGAAGAACTAATTGATTAGAGGAAGTACTTATTTAGAATGTGACCTTTGAAAGAAGGATTCTAGCCCCAACATGCTTGTTGTCCCAACCAAATGTATTGTCAGATTCATCAGCACCAAGGGTCTGTCCATTTGCTTGAATGTAGTTAAGGTACATTCGGCTCTTGGTGGCCTTATGCAACCAAGCGGCACCCCACAACAGCTCATCCTTAAATGATCAATACACATACATTTAAACCAAGTCCTGGTCCCAATAAGTTTAGAAAAGGCTACTAAAAGTTCATTTTCTTTAGATCGTCAATAACAACTACAATGTTGAAAAGATTAATGAAGGGCAGCAAAATGCAAGAAAAAGATAAGAATTTTTTTCACCTGATATCCAGAAAAATCACAATAATAAGGGCAGACATATGGTTTCAGTCCATTGCTGTATGGGCCTCTGTACTTATCAGCAAACTGAAACACCTACAAACCAAACATAAACCTCAGGCAAAATTGTTGCATTATTCATCTTGTGCATTTAATTGTTAATTAATATTTAAATTATACCCTGATGGCCCTTCTGACAAGGAGCTTGGAATAAGTGGGGTCACTTCTTCTAAAGACTAAAGAGGCTGCTGCAAGAGCTGCAGCTGTTTCAGCTGCAACCTCAGTGCCTGGGGTATTTTTGTCAATCTTAAAAACACTTCTTGGAGTGTCCATGTCCTCAGGTCTCTCCCAACAAGCATGGTCCTTCCCTGCATCCCCCACCTGCATATATCCCCAAATCACAACCCATTTTAACATACTATTGCGGAGAAGAGGGGCTTGGGGCTTCTTTTATTTAAGTTCCGCTTGCTGCTTTTCATTTTGATGTAAGATTCGACAAATTCTACATTTCACATATTATTGGTGAATAAGATTTGACAAAGTTTTAAACTGGCTAACTGCCATATTAATGGTGAATGAGAGAAGAAAAAGTGAAGACCTGGACATAAATGGTGTCAGGGTGAGCAGTGGCTTTGAGAAGATAATCAGTAGCCCAGCGGATGGCTTCCTTTGCATTCTGCAACTCTCCTTTCATAAGCCCACCAAATTCAATAACACTCCAAGAAAGCATAGTGGTGGTAAATGCCATTGGAAACCCAAACTTCACATTGTCCCCTGCATCATAATACCCACCCACCAAATCAACCTGCATTGTCATGTAAACTCAAAATAAGCAAAACCCAGTTCAAATAAGCAAAAATTTACAAAACTGATCATTTATTAGTAAAGGAAATGCACACATACATGAGCAGCTGAGCCATCTGAAAGGCCAGAGTTTCTCCTCCAAGAAATCCTTTGATTAGGAGGAAGTCTCCCCGATCTCTGTCCCTCAAAGAACATAATAGATTTGGTGAGTGCATCTCTGTAGTTATGAGAGGCAATGTGGGGGTGGCGGCGGTGGCGGATAGGGTAGTGCTTGGCGGTAGGGTAGGCAGCGGCGCCAAGAAGTTTAGAGGCAAACAGAACGAGAAACAGAACCGTAAAATTAATGAAGAGAGAAGAGGAAGAAGAAGAAGAAGAGTAAGCCATTTTTGTGTTGCCCATAGTTGACACAATGCCCTAACCAACTAACCAACCGGCAAGTTTTTGCAGGGAAAATGCAGAGTAGTCTGTGCTGTATTTATAAAGAAAAAGCTGCCACCTTCAACTTCCTGCTTGGTTACAATGACTTAGGCCGGTATGATTTTGATTCTTTTGAGAATCACTTGTCACACATTAATTTTTAAGAACTTGTGCTCAAATAATTCAATTTTGTTATACAAACAAGCTCAAAGATCGGTTCAAAAAAAGGAGGACATGTATCGGTATATGATTGAACATTTCGAAAAAAATAAAAACACAACACCCAGTTATTATCTGTCGAGTCACCATCTCCCTCCATCCCTATCCTTGAGCATGTCGAACGAGTATTATTGCAAAAAAAATTTCTTTTATCTTTTCTCAGTAATTTTAGTTACAGGTTGACACAAACACACTTTCAAAAAAATTACTTTTGAAAGAATCAAAATGAAACAAACCTTAAAAGCTTTCCATCGCTTCTTTTACTTAACAATAAGTAATTATTTTTTAATTTTTTTAATTAGCCTCCATTTGGCAAATTAAAAAATGTGTAGTCGTTATGAATGCGTTGATATTTGACTATGAGAGAATGTATAAATCATTTATAAATTTATATCAAACTTTGGCTAAGCACTTGTTTATTTTAGATTTTTCAAAATTGCATTTCATCAAACTTAATTTTAATCACACATTTTTCAAAAAATTACTTTTAGATTAAATTTTATCCTTTTTTGACATTCTCCTTTTCATAGTTGTTGGACATTTATTATATGTTTTTGACTGCCATTTATGCCTTACGTTGTGTCAATTCGAAACTCCTCCTCAAGGACCTCAACGGTAAGGATGAGTGTGACTTGTCACGTGAAAGCTTTTAATCAAACGGCGTTTGGACAAAATTGCATTGGACAAGGGATGGGAGGTTAACTAGTTTTACGGACACAAGCCAATAATTTTTGTCGAGAATGAGAAGTTTAGAACTTGTGTTTGTACTTAGCATGAAATTTGGAAAATCGGTGGGGGCGAGCTAGCGGCTTTCTACGTTTTTCATGCAGGTTTTAGTTATATGAGTCAATTAATCTTTCTAAATAAATAGGCAACTATGGACACGCAACAAGCCCCTAGGGTAGAGTTGAACACGATTGTCAGCTCATTAGTGACGGATCCAAAATTGGAGGTCGGTTAGAATAATTATTGACCGTTGACCATTGATCGTCAACACAACAGTCGTAATAACGAAGTTGTTTATTAATATTTAATTAAACAATATTAAAAATTCTTCAATCTATATGTAAATACAATAATTGTAGTAGCGAGACTAGATACACCACTAGAAGAATTAGGTTTTAACTTTCGTTTCAATTGAGAAAATCGTTCCGTAATCTATATGAAAAATAAACGCAATTCACGGATTAAATATAAATTAAACTTAAATCTAAACCATCATTAAATTTCAATTTTAAATTTTCAACACAAATTTATCATTGATCACATCACATATTCACAAATTTTTCAATTTATCATTTATTACATATATCACACATTTACAAATTTACAAGTTCCCCAAATTTCATAAATCATAAATTATCATGATTCACATAATAAATCTCCATTCAAATGATCAAATATAAAATATATCACTTCAACTTCAACTTCAAGTTCTAGAATTAAGATCATACTATTTAATTTTTTTGAAAATGTGAGAATTCATATGAAACGTCTTATGATAATAATGGTCTTTAATTTTGTTTCCTTTACAATTCTTCGTGGGCCACTTTTTTTTTTTTTAAACAAAAAAGCTCAACTAAAAAAGGACCAAAATCTAAAAATGAGAAAGATGGCCAAATACACTCATCTTCTTCCACCTTTCTTATTCCATGTAAGCATGCAACTTCATTGTGTATGGACTTTAACTGAGCACGGCTGTTGGCCTATAAATTCCGGCGGATCCAGCACGGACGACCACGCTCTCTTGTCGGGTGTTGGATTCGCCGTTGCAGCTCATGCCATGTTTGCATGTTGAGATGTTTTGATCCTAATTGACTCACTCTTGTCTGGACTCCATTAAATTTTGGGGAAAATTTGAATAATGTGTAATTAAAAAAGAAGGAAAAAATTTTAAAATTTACGTGTAATATTATTTTATTGGAGAATGTATAGTGAAAAAAGAAAAATGCATTTTAACTCAAATGGAACCCAAAAAGGGGTTGACGTGTTTTGAAACTCGTAAGATCCCAACACAATGTGGGTTGTTCGGACTACCTTGCCATTTTAAGAGTGATGCAAGAAATCATTTTGGAGAGTTCGTTGAAATTCATAAATCTTTCATTTTTTAAAGAGTAATATTATTTAACACTACTAGTGTTTAACAACAATTTAGATATCATTACTAGCGTCATTAAATTATATGTTTAATCAAACGAATAACATAATTTCACTTTTAATTGAACATATCATATAGTGCCACGTAAACTGGTGCTAGATAGTATTATTTTTTTTTTTACAAACGTGACATGAGTTGCTTTTGTTAAAATTCATAACTAGAATTATTTATTTTTAACATACCAAAGATAATGGGTAATTTCAGAAACCTCCCCGTAGGTTTATAATAATTCTAGAGACATCCCCACTTATTTTAAAAATTTTATAACTCTCCCTCAAAATTTGTTTTCAGTTATGAATGGTAACTTGTTAGTCAAAAGCGTGTTTTTATTTTCTATTTACCCTCCCTCGTACAGATGCTATACCTAGTCTCTCTACTCTTTTCACTCAATAGGACGGCCGTAGAATTTGCATTTTGGCAAACTGAAACCTCAATTATACAATTGAAATTCACAGTCCACCGATTGCCGTTTAACTGGAAGTACTGGATTCACAAGGCGATCGTAATTATTGGAAAGTTAAAAGAGTGAAGACTTTGAAGTATACTTGATTCAGAATGCTGTCGGGCAAAAGACACGAACAAAGAAGCATGGGTATATTGGCAAGAATCTCGAGCACGTTGAGTTGGTCAAAAGAGGACCGTAGCCATGTGGATTTCTGCACTTGAATCAAAAAGATATATGGATAATGGATAGATGTAGAAAACTAGTGGGAACTATCCACAATCTGCCATGAAGGCTTATCACCTTATATTTCTCTTTGTGACATGTCGACTTGTGAACATCGTTTACGTTAAAGGATGTACAAATTTATGTGTATGTTCTTTTGTGGAATCGAGATATAGTTCTTCCTCGATAGTTAACTTAAAAGTTGGGTTATGTGGATTTGATTTGATCGATCGATCCCTACTTATATTCATTCTGAAGTGGGGAAACCACATCTTAAGATGAATGCTGCTAAAATGCAGACTATAAAATAATGTTTTATAATTGGTGAACGTAAGATCATATTTTTAGTAGATCGTGAAAAAAAATGCTGAAATACGTGTTTGAAATTTTGATAAAAATCGTGAATCCCATGAAACGTAATGAAATGATTTAGAACATATCTTGCACGGACAAAACATTATCTCTTACGCGGTGTCAAACTACAAAAATGTTAGAAGAAAGAAGTAAATCTATGTTAAGAAAATTCAATGTTATTATTAGAAAATTATTTTGATTTTGTTATACCCTCTGGCAGATGTTACGTAGAACCAAATTGACATTATCGTATCACTTTTATATGTTTTTGATATCGACAAATAAATAAAACGCAGTCGAAAAAATGGAGAAAATATACATTCCTAATGGAAAAAAAAAATATCTTGGATCAGTCAATAATTTACAGACAAATCCTAGTTTTGCTCTGTAATTGTGCTTAAAAATTTAGTATTGAATCTCTTTACTTTTAGCCGTTTACATCTGTGCCATGTTCCTTTTTTGAGCGCCGTTTTAAAGGGAAAATATGTTTATGAATAGTGTTTTTTTTTTAAAGAATATATGGTTAAAAGTAAGGAAAATTTCGGTTTAGGCAGGAAATTATTTTACTGAAGAAAGTGTGATTGAAAATAAATTTTGGAAAAATGAGTTTTTGAAAAATGGAGTTCAAACAAGGACTTTATAATTCGAAACGATCATGTGAAAAGAATCAAACAGCACATGTCATTGTCCTTTTTCGCAAGTTCATGTCACCACTCACCTGTAGAATTCGTTAATAAATAGCGTTCTAAAAAACGTAAAGCGTGACTAGGTATAGAGGCCAAGTTTCAAACTTTACGAAAAAACGTTTTTTAATTCTTAACCATTCAAAAAAAAAAAAAATCAATAATTCAGATAATACATATCGAACATCTAAAATTATAAAATATTATATTTACTTAATAATTCATACAAAAAGATAAGTTTCAAAATCATAATTTTATAACTTCTAGTTTAAATTTAATCTAACTCTTTATCAGACTCCAATTCAATATTCTCTTCTTCATCTAATGGGTTATCACCGTGTCGTCCGATACAAAATCGTCTTCCTCGGGCACCCTTATTTCATTTGAGCAGTACCTTGTATAAGTTGCAAGATATCATTCTCCTACTCATCACAACCCTCTACAATTCAAGATTGTAGTATGGTTGTATGTTTATCATATAATAATTTAATAATTAATAGGGAAGATGAAACATTTGCATTGGAAAAAAATATTAATAATAAATAAAAAAGCACGCCTAACCGCACATTAAGCGATCAATATTGTAACTAATCGCTTATTTCTCGCATAGGCTCAAGGCGTAGTGTTTTCACCACGCTCGCGTCTAGGTGCTTTCTAGAACACTGTTAATAATTCAAATCGATAAATATTTTCAATTTAAATCCTTTTTTCTCAATTTTGTTTTCTCACGCTCGTTTACTACTATACATTCCAAAAGAAAAATATTTTTCGCATTTATCCAATAAGTGAAAATATAAGAAAACCGACACATTTTATATTCCCTTATTTAGTGCTCGTCTCATAAAATTTTGCTAAAATTTTATTAATTTTTCAGTTGGGTCGAACT